ATTGTCTATGACGTTGAATATTGCCGAACTTATCCTATTAATCAGTGGGTTAATGGCACATAAATGATTCGATAAACCAACCATTCTGCTACATATACGTCACTGTAAATTATAAAAGGTTTTAGTTTCGTGTACCATTCTCGCGTTTATGGCGTTATATACGAGAACTAACACGTCGCCGTGTAATGCAGGATCGGGTACTGATGCCAGTGACGTCATCTCGCCGTCCAATAGCCAGCTTTAAAATCGCATTTTCGCTCTGGTTTTTCATCCTTCTGTTGGCTAACTTAATGGGTGACGTGTATAGTTTATTTTATGGTATAAGTTTACGTAATTGCTAAATTTGTAATTGAATTGGGATTAAGAAGATTAGACGCGTTTATTTTCTGTATAGAGGAGTAATTAAGGAAAAAAATTTCCTTACTTGTTCTTGCTGTACGTTATAAAAATCAAATAAAAACAGTAAGGCAATCCTCATAAAAAAAAGACCTTCCTGTCTTATTAAGGAGCATATAGATCAGGGAAGGAAAGGAAAGTATTAAAGTTTGAAAGGGCAAATATGGTAGAATTCTTTGATTTTCCTATTTGCTCTTTCTGTTCCTTATAAAAAATCAAGGGGGAAAAGGCATTAAGGAATTAGTATCCGTTGATCCCATAGATAAGAACATTACTTTCTTTAAATGGGAGTAAGAGTAGTGAAAGGAAATGTTACTTAATACTTGAGTATATTTATTTTCTTTATAGAAGAGTAAATGTAGAAGAATTCCTTATTTCTCTTTATTTGCTCTTGCCGTTTTATATAAAAATCAAACAAAAAAAAAAAGAAGCAGTAAGGAACTGATCCTTGTAGACTGGAATCGTACTTCGTCTCCCTTAAAGGAGTAGAGAAAGCAGGGAAGACTTTAAGCTCATCTGTTTTCTTTATAAAAGAGTAATATAGAATTTCTCACTTTACCGTAAGGAGCAGCAAGAGTGGAGAAGAAAGGAAGACTATTTGACGACTTATTTCCTTTATTTGCTTGCTGTTTCTTATTAAAATAAAACAGAAAAGCAGCGAGGAATTGGTCCTTACGTACGTACAAGAATCTTACTTTCCTTGAGGAGCAGCAATAGTAGGAAAGGGGTGTTAAGGCAATCTCGTCCATTCCTTATAGGAAAAAATAATAAAAATATGAAAGGATTTCTTACTTTCTTACAAAAATCGAACAAAAACAATAAGAAGCTGATACTTAAAGCAATCTTACTTTAAGGAGCACTAAGAGTAGGGAAGGATCAATTAAAACTCAAATCTTTTCCTAAGTTCTTGTTGTTCTTTATAGTGAACTCAAACTAAAAAAAGTAATTAAAGAATTCTCATAGATTGCTCCTTAAGGAGCAACAGGAATTGGGAAAGATGGAAGATTATAGATCGAGAACATCAATATAACTACTCTCATTCTCTTCCCAATCGAAATTAAAAGCAATAATAACTACTTTTTTTTTGACAATGCTCCACTCTTAAGGGGGAGAGGGGTTGATTTTTCTGCACTTCTTTAGACTTGGCACTCGCTCCAATTACGTCAACTTCCAACTCTCTAATTGGGATACGTCACAAGAGTGACGAGATGAAGATGCTGAAACAGCACTTCAGTGTTTGTTCCGCTGGAGGAAAAGCTCTAGACACGAACAAACTTGGTAAATACTCCTACGAAAATGCACGCTCCCTTCCGAAAATTACAATTAATAAAGCGTCATTATCTGTATTTAATTGAGGAAATTTTAAACAGTGTTGACCTACTCCAAAAGCGGATTAAATGTTAATTAAAATCAATAAACGCTAACGTAACGTCGCGATTCTATGGCATTTAGCTTCGTAACACGAGTAATTAAACAATTTAATTTATAAATACTTCATTCTGATGTATGTTCTATAATTATATAAATATTAAAGTAGCGGAAGATGGCTGACGAAACTAGCGTAGTATTTATGTACAGAAATCTTAAATATATCGCTTAATTTCGATGTTTTTGTTTAATTTAAATGAAAAGTTAAATTATTCTTTAATTAATATCTCACTTTTTAATCATTCGATGGTAGTTTATAATGCAGAAATACCTCTTTTCTTTATTCGGCGTGCGCCGACGCTTCGCTTCGCGTCGCGTGTCTTTGAGTTCCTATTTCGAGTGTATATTTGATCTCCTTAAGGAACTTTTATAAAATAAAATATGGCGATAGTTTTCTCGCTTGGGTATTGATTTATCTTTGAGAATTTAATGTAAATAACGTCTTATGGGATATTTAATATACGGTAGCCTGTGCGCGTTGCGTCGCATCTCTTCGCGCTGATATGTCGCTCTTATTATTAACAATCTAATGATTTTTATAACTTTTAAAATATATACAGTTTTATTAGATGAGTGTTAAATATGTATTTATTTAATTTGAATTAAATTTTATTTTGTATAATATAATATACAGTTTGTGCGCGTTTCTTCGCTTCGCATCGCGTCGCGCTAAGTAAATGACTCAATAAAAGTTTTATATAATTGATTACATTTGTTTCTATTATATGAATAACGTTTGTATTTCTTATTTAATAGAAAAATAGCGTGCGTAATTTATAATTATTCGTCTGTATGTCTGTTTATGTTTACTTAGCCTATATTTCGTTTATTAGAATGGCAAATCGATACTTTATATCCGCTTTTTAAAACAAAATGTATGAAAATTCATTATTTTTGATTCAATTAAATTATTAAAAATATAGAAATTATATGTTATTAAAATAATATATAAACATAATTTAATTTCTTGGTTAATTTGAAATCACGCTTCGGCGCGAGCGCCGACGCGTGGTAGCGATGCGATACACGACGCGTCGAGTTACAAGAGTTAGAAAATGACACGTTCAGATAATTAAAATAACAAATTTGTATTTTTAAAACGAAGTAATTATGAAATTTAGTGTCATGACAGGTCATATAAATAGAATTAACATGGGTTTTTTTCTTCCTTCCTTTACTTTACGAGTGTTATAAATATCCTTTGAGTTATTTGTAGAAGGTGAGGGAGAAGCTATAACTTTTGCTAACTTTGAAATTAATTTTCTGAGTTATAGTCTTGTAACTGCGTATTTTATATATATCGAAAAAATATATAGGTTATATATAGGCTATATTCCTATATAACTTATAAAATATTCTCAAAATTAAATTTAAAAACTTCAAAAAAATTGATATAATTTAAGAGAAGGGAGAGGAAAAAGAAAAAAAAAAAATTAAAAAGATATTCAATTTGGTTGAGAATCGTAAAATTTACCTTTGACCTTTTCGCTCTGACGTCATATCATCTCTTTAGTGACGTAAACTTTTTAAAACATGACGTCAGAATTGAGGTATTGCGCTTATTTTAGCTGTCAAACGAACAGCAAAAAATCAAGAAAATTAACCGTTTTAATCCACTTAAATTATACAAAATATAGAGAAAATGGCATAATTTTTACTTGAATAAAATAGTAAATTTGAATTGTTCTGTACGACACAGGCGATAGCGATACGAGACAATTTTTCCTTTAAAAGAAATTAATCATATATAATAATATATCTATGGAAGTGGACATGACATACTTCTGTCGTAAACACGTGGAAAATTTGAGAGAAAAATGATTTTTTTATAAGAAATCCTTGTTATGTAACTACTTGGATAAGGAATGGATACTTTAACGATTTTCCTGAAATGATTTTGTGGACAGAAAATTAATAATAACTCGGTTTTTCCTTCCCCAAATGGAATGAAATCTGAAGTAGAAGATTGGTTCGAGATACGAGAAAGTAATCTTGTACAAATTAACTTTGAACAAAATTACTTTCTCGTATTTTAAGAACAAAACCTTGTGCCATTTTTTCCCCCTTAACTGCGTATGACGGATCGCCGCGCGACATATCGCGTCGCATCGCATGCTATCGATAATTAATTTATCTTTTAAAATATCTATTAAAAATACATTAAAAGAGAAAAAAATTAAAGCTTAAAACTACTCGTTTAAATAATTTAGGCTACGTAATATATACGTGACGTAACGCGACAAGTACGTAGCGGCACGCGTTTTTCGCGACGTTAACCAATATGGCGGCTACATAAAATTTACGCGCTCTAACAAGGTAGTTTTTAAAGTGCAGGAACATGAAAATGTGCTAGGTCGATCGTAAAATCGATGAATTACAAAGGGAATGAAAGTTTTTTTGTTTTTGGTTACACTAGTTTAATGAATTTTCTGCCCAAATTTCTTTCTTTTTTCTTTTTTTTTTACTTCTCAAATTAGAAAATCGATATGTTCTATCCTTATAGTTTATTTCGTGTTATTACGTTTTGTAAACAATGTATGGCTCTGTATAAAGGTAATCGATAGAAGGTAAAGTGAATCAACGAGTAAGTGACAAGTCTCTGTTGAATTTTTACTTTAATTAGATCACTCTGACCATCATTTTTTAATATTTTTTTTGTAACTTTTTGAAGTTTTTTTTTCTAAATTTAAAACATTTTTCTATATTTAAAGCGTTTTTTTTTATTGCGTTAAATACATTAATTTTAGAAGTTTAACGTTTTTCCAGTACTTTAACATTAAATCATTTTGTAAACACTTTTCACAAATATTAGAAATTTTTTTTTAATATATAAAGAAAAACTTTATGAAGAATATTATTGGTTTTTTTTAATTTCAAATTTAAATAAAATATTTTAAAAAAGTTATATTCTGAATAAGGGTATCTACTGTCGCGAACCGATTGCTTTGCGCGCTTGACGTCGCGTCGCGTTGCATCGCGTAATTATTTTGGTTAATTACGCTTTAAATGTGCATAAATTTAATTTTTAAGTACTTAAAGTGGCAATAACAATCCTTTCTTTCGGGTTTAAAATTTAAAAATCAGTATTTATTTCATAATATATTAATGTAAAATTTAGCTTCGTTTGTTTGTGTATATATAAATATATATGTTTAATTAGAATTTTCCTCCCACAGAATGCAGCGCTGTAACCAAGCAGAGTTGAAGGGGCGGAAGCGCTGACGAACAGTATGACCCAATCTCTCCTCCAGGGCAAACGTTTCTACTGTCGAGAATGGGCTTTCGTCAAGATAGTCCATTGTTTAGAGAACAGGCCCTCTTCCAAAACCTGTGGAGCCTTGATTATGGGTGGACCAGGTTGTGGCAAGAGTGCTCTATGCTGCGAGATCGTCTCACCGACAGTGCATCATGGGAAACAGATAGCGCTAAGCAAAAGGCTACTCGCTTATCATTTCTGTCAAGCTCACGACATTGACACACTATCTCTGTCCAACTTCATCCGAAATCTAGTGGATCAGGTATCGAAATCGGAACTTGTTTCTAAATATATCGAAAGAATAAAAGATGAAGAAGTGCAATCCGCTTTAGAACTCGAAGAATGCGAGAAAAATCCCGATGAGGCGTTTAGAAAATGTCTGTTGTTTCCTTTATTAGAGATAGATCCTCCGAGTCAGACGTGCTTCATCTTAGTGGATTCCATCGACGAATCTTATATTCAAGTCGCTGGAGACAAATCCACTACAAGTAGAACCATTGCTGAACTGTTGGCAAACCATCATCACCTGTTCCCCCAATGGCTTTTGTTAATCTGTTCTGCCAGGAAACAGAGCAAGTCGGTCACTCGGATGTTTACCGGATTTCGGAAAATCAGTTTAGATGATCTTCGAAAGTCTCACGTTGTCCGTGACGTCCAGCAATATATTCTTAGTAGGTTGGACCAAGAAGAGGCGTTGAGGCAGCATCTTAGTAAGGAAACTGCCGAGATGCTCAATCAACTACACATCAAGAGCAATGGTTGTTTCTTATATCTAGAAAAGGTTTTAGATGGAGTTGCGGAAAATTTTATCATGTTGAGAGAGATTCGTGAAATTCCGGGTACGTTAAATGGATTATATTTATGGTTATGCCAACGGTTGTTTGTTCGGAAACAGTTTTCCAAGGTTCAACCTCTTCTTAACGTTATCTTAGCGGCTCGGAAACCTCTTACTGTAGAGCAGTTGTATCAATCGGTATGGACAAAATCCACCAATTTGACGTGGGAAGAGTTTCAAAAACGTCTGTCGCTCCTTTCGAAAGTTCTCATCGATGGTCGAAACGGGACCAAAATTCTTTTTCATCACAGTTTCGCCGAATGGTTACTCGACGTCAAACACTGCACCCTGAAGTACTTGTGTCATGCCGGCGATGGGCACGGTATGTTAGCTATGTGGTACACTTTAAAAGCATCCACATTGGATTCGGATCAAGTTCACGATTTCGTTTTACATCTGAGTAAAGTCCCATTGGGATCGAATCTGCAACCTTTTCATCTTCCTCTATGGTTGGTGATTTCGGGGGCGAGTACGGATAACATATTCTTGGGTAGCAAAACGCTTAGAGAACAACGCATTGTTAAACTGCTCGCCGATGCTGGGGCACAAGTCCCTCTGGTAGCGGAACAAGAAATAGAAGATACCAGTAGAGTTACCGAAGATCCACTGGAGGCTCTTTTAGAATCTGGAGGAGCTGTTAACCAAACTGATGCCAACCAAAGGACATTGTTACACATGGCTACTTACGATGGCGATGAGCAGTTGACGGAACGGCTACTCGCTCGAGGAGCGCATCTGGAGGCTGTAGATAAAAACGGGCAAACGGCTCTAAATTTAGGTAAGTGTTACCTTTAAAAGCTCTTAAAATGGCATTTTGTATGTTCGCTTTACGAGAGAGAAATCTTTCGATCGTAAAAAATGGAAAAGTGTTTACGAACTGATGCTTTTCATAAATATAAATTATTGCATTTTTATTTTTTAAGTAAAAATATTTCGTATAAAACATAATTCTTAAATAAACTTTGATTCGGTCACTAGAGGGCCAATTACAAAATTCAAATTCATACTTTCTAATTGGTTCTTTATAATGTTACTTTATTAAATAAATAAATTCTCGAATTTTTGCTGGAAAATATTGATAAAAATAATTTTTAAACTCTCTTTTATTATCGACGTATCCGTTAACGTTAATTAAAATTTCATATGTGATCGTCATCACGCAAAAATTCAATAATTATCCATCTTCAGCACATTAGCCCTCTGGTGGTCGAATCTTTTGCTCTCTAATGCTTAGCCCTCTGGTGGTGGAGTCCAATTTCAATTAGATATTTAAAAACTTTTTTACATTATTATTATCAACAGTTTATAGAAAAATACTTTAAATAGTAAATTGAATATTCTAAATACGTTTTTTTCGGTTTGTAGTTTTATATTCAGTATTTGTTCGCCATTTTTTTTCTGGTCATTTGTCACTTGTGAAGAACAGATTGGGTCGTTCTCACCGTAGTCTTTTACTGTATTTGATATAAAAAAAAAAAATGTTGGCATTTGTCAACGTTTTGTAGGCAAACAAATTCATTACAATTTTGGTGAAAGGAAAGTGACAAATTTTCAAATTTATTTTTGTCGTACCGAGTTTTATATAACAAATATTACGTTATACAATCTATACTAGAAATCTTTAAAACGTGAAGAAGCGTCAGACATATTTGAAAGAAGTGTAATAAATAGAGTGTAAAGAGAAAGTCAAGGGTGATATCTTTGGATTTAAGCCAAAGTTTTACGTTTTTTTTTTTTTTAACTCAAAAGTTTTAATGGAACTGTTACATTTTTCTTCTTTTCGGAAATGAAATCGAACATCCGGCAACAATTTACGTCAAGCGATGATGAAAGAAGTTAAACTGGTGCGCTTAAGCCGAAATGGGTTTAAATTGTGTAAGAGTTATTGATGAAATAACTCGGGGTTAACGTATGAAAGTTTTAACACATACACAAAGGTGGCATTAATACATTCTCAAATAACACATACATATTTAAATATTCATATATAAACACGAAAGGGTAGACAATATGCATACCAATCTGAGAGGTGTCTATACATTTATACATCCAGACACCTATTAAATGCAAGCTCACAAGTTAGATCCATAGAATCATTAATTAGTCTGAATTCGTGTATTTGAATCTATGTGCATATGCAAATAGGTGCATAGAGTTTCATACACTGATTTAGTAACACACCCACAATATATTTAGGGGGCATTGATTTATTTATAGATACGTATAGGGCCATAAACATCTATCTAAAAACTGATTCTAAGACAAATTCAGTCGCATGTGTATTTAGCTATAAGCATAAATTGGTTCGATGGCATCCATTTTGCAAATTATTCAAAACATTCTTGAATATGCTTGATATAAATTTAAGTATTATTCATTTTAATTCTTACGATTTCAGCGGCAAGACAAGGACACGCAAAATTAGTCGAAATCCTACTACAGAACGGATCCAATCCAGATCACGCAGATAACGACGGATGGACACCATTAAGGGCATCCGCTTGGGCAGGACATACAGAAGTAAGTACTACGCAATTTAATTATGTATTTACATAAGTAATTTGGCACACAACACGAGCGTGTTACGATTCGTTGAACGGTAACGTAACTCATATTTTATAAATGATATAACTCATCAAATTTGAAATACTCGGGAGACCAGAGAAACTACTACCGTGGTCCATCATGACATTCAATGACGAGTTGAGTTAAGAAAATGGCTAAATTACGAGCCCAATAAAGGTGAATCGCTTTGTAGTAATTCAAAACTTTTCTAATATTTGATCGCTGGCTCCTAATGGAATTCTTAGCTTTCAATTTATTTGTCCAACCGAACTAATAATCACATCAGAGGAAGGGGAATGGTCATAAGTAAGATAAATAAAACTCTAGAGTAATGTTTGCACGTTAGGAACGATTGATAAAAGTCAAACTACCACTTCTAAGAGAATGAAATGAACTGCACTACATAAACACAGTTCGTTTTTTTTTCTTAGTTTTATATATAAAAAGGGAAAAGAAGACATAATGTGTTTTTATTACTTGTGGTCGTCGTTTGACTCCTCTGACGACTTTGTCGAGGAGACCATTTACTCTACGATTATTGTTGAAACGTGATGCAATTTTTTTGAGTCTTTCCCTCCGACTTGTCAGACAAAATAAATAAGTCTCAACTAAGCTTTTACTCCATTATTTTCTAGTAAACTCCTCTTGTCCTACTTTCCTGTCTTCAAAATACTTGCAGCAATATGTTTACTTGCCAATTCTCGAGACGTAGAGAATAATTCACAAGGTTCTTTCTTTCTATTCTAAATGAATTTGATCGCTTAACTTCTAGAAAAATTTGTCTTTTTAATCGTCTGAATACGATAATAGTTGTAAATCACTTTTATTGTTTATAGTTTCGATGCCAGGCACGCTTGATGTTGTGTCCCGTCGCATCGCGGTTGAATTTTAAAATTCTCTCTTGTTCAATTGAAATGTAAAGGTGTTTGATTCTTTAAAATTAGAATTTTCGACTGATAAAATAAGAAAATAGTTACATTATATTTATTATTCAGGCGATGCAAAGCGATCAAACCAATACGGAAACCTCGTAGGAATAGGGCATGTATACGCTGATTAATCCTTACTTTTCTGAAAACTAAGGCTCAATAACAAATTATTATTTGAAAATTAATCATTTCACTGAAGTAAATTTCAATTTTTATTAAACACGTAAGAACAATCTTATGTTTTACTATTTAAAAAAGTATGTAGCGATATCAGCACGTGATCGATGACATCACCGGCACTTAGATGAAGTAGAAAAACCGGCCCGCGCGAGAGATTTTCACGTGATGATAAAGGGTAAAGGTCATCCATCAGCTGATCCGTTCTCGCATCTCTTAAACTAACAAGATTCGTTGAACCGGTATACATTCTTTCAACGCACAGGTAGCGATGATTAATTATTTTCTCTCATTTATTATGGTATAAATCACAAAAATACAGTACATTAACCACATACTGCATAATTTTATTTAAAATTAAGCCGAAATATTTATATATTCCTACATCCTCGATTAAGAAAAATTATAACTCGAATGATATATTTATTAAGGTGTAACAATGCAAAGTAGACGTTGAGTAGTCCGAAAACTTGTGTTACTGGCCAAAACTAGGACAAGGTAAACTCAAGATTTTACATGTTTAATTTATATTTTATCATTAAATATATCTATATATCATTTTATTTCTGTGTACGATAAATTAGGAAATTATTCAAACGAAAAACAAGCGTACACATCTGCACCAACAACGCTCAATTTCTTTCTTAAGAATGTAATTTCAGCATCTTTTTTGGAGTTTATCAGCACTCTGGGATGAGATTTTTCCTCTTTTTTTTCTCTCTCTCTCTCTCTCCTCCCCTCTTTGTTTAAAGCTATTTTATTAATTAAATTTCCAGGAAAGGATTGTTTCTTCTACTATTTTCCATCGTCGATTAGTCGAGTTGGATTATTCTGGCAACGTCTTGCTCTATCGACCGTTGTAGAGCATCTGCTATGCATTTACTAAGGTCCCAGATGTGATGGAGACGTTGCGTGTCTCCTGCTTTATAACTCGACTGTAAATCTGTTTTCACTCGAAACTCGATCCTTTAAATATAACTCGGTCGACTGTCTCATAATCATAATGAGGGGGAGATTGCGTGGAATTTCTCTATTTTAATTTGTATCCGTGATAAATAATAAGAGAACGGCACTTAATAGAATTATTTTATTACTACTATAAGACGATGAAGATGCTATTATCGATCTTATGTGTTTTATTTGTTAAGAAAAGAATTTTTATTTTTATTTCAGTAAAAAGTAAGTTCTGCTGCTCTCACCGTATACCATTCTCCACATTGTTTAGTAATGGCGCTGAGCGTAAATGGGATTTGATATTGATGTAATGAGACTAATGCAAATAAATATTGATTTTTATATCACAAAATGAAGATAAAATCTATTTAAAGTAATTTTAAAAGTTGAAAATATTTGTGAATATTTTTTTTTAAGGAGAAAATCGTCAACGCGACGCGACTTAAAGCGACACCAGAAAGTGACAATGTTAATAACTTCCGTTTCCGGTATTGGATCGTTTTAAAAATCAATAAAGTCTCATCACACGATTATAATGATGTTTTCATATCAAAATCATTATCATTTAATGAGCCATTTTTTTTTAGTTACGACGAATGCAGCCGACATCACCATATTAAAATTAAGTTAAATCGTGTCGAAACATGTCGAAACTTGTTTATTCCTCCTGTAATAGTTTCAAAAGAGCAATATACTCTTTATATAAGAATTTGTCTCATGTTTACTGATTATTATAACTGTTGCAAAGGGAAATTCAGTTTAAGACACGAAGTGCCATGTCAGTTTGTATATTTGACGTAGACCCATAACGATACAATACTTACACACGAGACAAGATTATTCTTATATTTAAATGTATATTTTTGTTTATTTTCAGGTGGTGATCAAGTTATTAGAACACGGTGCTCAAGTTGATCTTGCTGATGCCGATCAAAGGACCGCACTAAGAGCAGCCGCCTGGGGAGGTCACGAAGAAGTGGTCATTAAGTTATTGGAACACGGGGCTTGCGTCAATAAAACGGACAACGAAGGTAGAACAGCACTGATAGCGGCGGCATACATGGGGCATACGGAGATCGTGGAACATCTGTTAGTTCACGGAGCCGAAGTGAATCACGCAGATTCCGACGGTCGCACCGCCTTGTCCGTTGCATCCCTGTGCGTTCCCGCTTCCGAAGGTCACGCGGGTGTTGTTAGCTTACTGTTAGAACGAGGGGCTGAAGTGGATCATCGAGATAAGGACGGGATGACTCCTCTGTTGGTAGCTGCCTTCGAAGGGCACAGCGACGTCTGTGAGCTATTATTAGAAGGCGACGCGGATGTAGATCACACGGATAACAGTAGAAGAACCCCTCTCTTCGCTGCCGCCTCTATGGGTCATCCGGAAGTGGTAAATCTTCTCCTGTTCTGGGGTGCTGCAGTGGATACCATAGATGCCGAAGGAAGAACGGTGCTTTCGATAGCAGCGGCTCATGGTGATACGGAAGTGGTTCGCCAATTGTTAGATAGGGGTCTAGACGAGATGCACAGAGATAACGAAGGTTGGACTCCTTTGCATTACGCAGCCTTCGAAGGCCACGCCGACGTTTGCGAGTTGCTGATCGAAGCTGGAGCTAGAGTGGCAGAAGTGGATAATGACGGAAGAATCGCTCTGATACTAGCCGCACAGGAAGGACACACGTCTCTAGTTGCTAAACTGTTAGACGTCAATAGAACGATGATCGATCATCGATCCCACGATGGAAAGACGGCTCTGAGGGTGGCAGCTTTAGAAGGACATAAGGACACGGTAAGTAATTATAACGGTGTATTATTCTCTTAAGTTGATAGAGGATCTTCAAACGTACAAAATTAGTTTCCATGGCGCAAAGAAAACTGTCAACAAAGTAATTACACTACCTTTAATTACAATAAGGTTGCGCTTCTTTGCCATTGTTCTAATTAGGCAAAATTAGGATGATGATTAGTGTCGAGGAACAACTCGTTAATTTAGCATGTGACCCAAATTATGCGATTTTACGCTTGGAAGAATTCTACTCGCTTGTATCAATTGTTTCAGTTCCATTTAAATAATAAAGTGATATCGTTCCTTCCTTCCTCGCATACACGTGGAATTTTGACCATGAGAAAATTGTTCAATTTCAAATACGAAACCGGTTACGTCATAACGACAAGTAATTACGTAATTCTCAATATTCATTAAAGTTTATGTCGCAAAGGTTAACTAAATTAGATAATCTGTAAAATTTATATTGATTAATTAGAAGAAACAATTGCTTTTAAATTGGTAATTAGCGTCGTTACTGTAATTTCATACATTTATTAAAAAGTTTTAAAAATTTATAAATTTTTTAAATGTTATTTTCAGAGTTTGTATTGATCGGAACTGGCTTAATGTGTTTAGTTAAATTATTTCCCATCGTAATTAATCTAAATACATTTTAATGGACTTGTTTTTTTTNTGAGAATTTAATGTAAATAACGTCTTATGGGATATTTAATATACGGTAGCCTGTGCGCGTTGCGTCGCATCTCTTCGCGCTGATATGTCGCTCTTATTATTAACAATCTAATGATTTTTATAACTTTTAAAATATATACAGTTTTATTAGATGAGTGTTAGATATGTATTTATTTAATTTGAATTAAATTTTATTTTATATAATATAATATACAATTTGTGCGCGTTTCTTCGCTTCGCATCGCGTCGCGCTAAGTAAATGACTCAATAAAAGTTTTATATAATTGATTACATTTGTTTCTATTATATGAATAACGTTTGTATTTCTTATTTAATAGAAAAATAGCGTGCGTAATTTATAATTATTCGTCTGTATGTCTGTTTATGTTTACTTAGCCTATATTTCGTTTATTAGAATGGCAAATCGATACTTTATATCCGCTTTTTAAAACAAAATGTATGAAAATTCATTATTTTTGATTCAATTAAATTATTAAAAATATAGAAATTATATGTTATTAAAATAATATATAAACATAATTTAATTTCTTGGTTAATTTGAAATCACGCTTCGGCGCGAGCGCCGACGCGTGGTAGCGATGCGATACACGACGCGTCGAGTTACAAGAGTTAGAAAATGACACGTTCAGATAATTAAAATAACAAATTTGTATTTTTAAAACGAAGTAATTATGAAATTTAGTGTCATGACAGGTCATATAAATAGAATTAACATGGGTTTTTTTCTTCCTTCCTTTACTTTACGAGTGTTATAAATATCCTTTGAGTTATTTGTAGAAGGTGAGGGAGAAGCTATAACTTTTGCTAACTTTGAAATTAATTTTCTGAGTTATAGTCATGTAACTGCGTATTTTATATATATTGAAAAAATATATAGGCTATATATATATTCCTATATAAGTTATAAAATATTCTCAAAATTAAATTTAAAAACTTCAAAAAAATTGATATAATTTAAGAGAAGGGAGAGGAAAAAGAAAAAAAAAAAATTAAAAAGATATTCAATTTGGTTGAGAATCGTAAAATTTACCTTTGACCTTTTCGCTCTGACGTCATATCATCTCTTTAGTGACGTAAACTTTTTAAAACATGACGTCAGAATTGAGGTATTGCGCTTATTTTAGCTGTCAAACAAACAGCAAAAAATCAAGAAAATTAACCGTTTTAATCCACTTAAATTATACAAAATATAGAGAAAATGGCATAATTTTTACTTGAATAAAATAGTAAATTTGAATTGTTCTGTACGACACAGGCGATAGCGATACGAGACAATTTTTCCTTTAAAAGAAATTAATCATATATAATAATATATCTATGGAAGTGGACATGACATACTTCTGTCGTAAACACGTGGAAAATTTGAGAGAAAAATGATTTTTTTATAAGAAATCCTTGTTATGTAACTACTTGGATAAGGAATGGATACTTTAACGATTTTCCTGAAATGATTTTGTGGACAGAAAATTAATAATAACTCGGTTTTTCCTTCCCCAAATGGAATGAAATCTGAAGTAGAAGATTGGTTCGAGATACGAGAAAGTAATCTTGTACAAATTAACTTTGAACAAAATTACTTTCTCGTATTTTAAGAACAAAACCTTGTGCCATTTTTTTCCCCCTTAACTGCGTATGACGGATCGCCGCGCGACAGATCGCGTCGCATCGCATGCTATCGATAACTAATTTATCTTTTAAAATATCTATTAAAAATACATTAAAAGAGAAAAAAATTAAAGCTTAAAACTACTCGTTTAAATAATTTAGGCTACGTAATACATATGTGACGTAACGCGACAAGTACGTAGCGGCACGCGTTTTTCGCGACGTTAACCAATATGGCGGCTACATAAAATTTACGCGCTCTAACAAGGTAGTTTTTAAAGTGCAGGAACATGAAAATGTGCTAGGTCGATCGTAAAATCGATGAATTACAAAGGGAATGAAAGTTTTTTTGTTTTTGGTTACACTAGTTTAATGAATTTTCTGCCCAAATTTCTTTCTTTTTTCTTTTTTTTTTTTTTACTTCTCAAATTAGAAAATCGATACGTTCTATCCTTATAGTTTATTTCGTGTTATTACGTTTTGTAAACAATGTATGGCTCTGTATAAAGGTAATCGATAGAAGGTAAAGTGAATCAACGAGTAAGTGACAAGTCTCTGTTGAATTTTTACTTTAATTAGATCACTCTGACCATCATTTTTTAATATTTTTTTTGTAACTTTTTGAAGTTTTTTTTTCTAAATTTAAAACATTTTTCTATATTTAAAGCGTTTTTTTTTATTGCGTTAAATACATTAATTTTAGAAGTTTAACGTTTTTCCAGTACTTTAACATTAAATCATTTTGTAAACACTTTTCACAAATATTAGAAATTTTTTTTTAATATATAAAGAAAAANCATGGCGCAAAGAAAACTGTCAACAAAGTAATTACACTACCTTTAATTACAATAAGGTTGCGCTTCTTTGCCATTGTTCTAATTAGGCAAAATTAGGATGATGATTAGTGTCGAGGAACAACTCGTTAATTTAGCATGTGACCCAAATTATGCGATTTTACGCTTGGAAGAATTCTACTCGCTTGTATCAATTGTTTCAGTTCCATTTAAATAATAAAGTGATATCGTTCCTTCCTTCCTCGCATACACGTGGAATTTTGACCATGAGAAAATTGTTCAATTTCAAATACGAAACCGGTTACGTCATAACGACAAGTAATTACGTAATTCTCAATATTCATTAAAGTTTATGTCGCAAAGGTTAACTAAATTAGATAATCTGTAAAATTTATGTTGATTAATTAGAAGAAACAATTGCTTTTAAATTGGTAATTAGCGTCGTTACTGTAATTTCATACATTTATTAAAAAGTTTTAAAAATTTATAAATTTTTTAAATGTTATTTTCAGAGTTTGTATTGATCGGAACTGGCTTAATGTGTTTAGTTAAATTATTTCCCATCGTAATTAATCTAAATACATTTTAATGGACTTGTTTTTTTTTAAAAATCGTAATTGTTTTTTATTGGTTGAAAAAAACCACGTGAATTTAAAATTCAAATTTCGTATTACGATCGATTTAAGTTGATATTTTTATTTATTGGATGTCGAAAGTATTGAATTGGTCCTACTTTCCTGTCTTCAAAATACTTGCAGCAATATGTTTACTTGCCAATTCTCGAGACGTAGAGAATAATTCACAAGGTTCTTTCTTTCTATTCTAAATGAATTTGATCGCTTAACTTCTAGAAAAATTTGTCTTTTTAATCGTCTGAATACGATAATAGTTGTAAATCACTTTTATTGTTTATAGTTTCGATGCCAGGCACGCTTGATGTTGTGTCCCGTCGCATCGCGGTTGAATTTTAAAATTCTCTCTTGTTCAATTGAAATGTAAAGGTGTTTGATTCTTTAAAATTAGAATTTTCGACTGATAAAATAAGAAAATAGTTACATTATATTTATTATTCAGGCGATGCAAAGCGATCAAACCAATACGGAAACCTCGTAGGAATAGGGCATGTATACGCTGATTAATCCTTACTTTTCTGAAAACTAAGGCTCAATAACAAATTATTATTTGAAAATTAATCATTTCACTGAAGTAAATTTCAATTTTTATTAAACACGTAAGAACAATCTTATGTTTTACTATTTAAAAAAGTATGTAGCGATATCAGCACGTGATCGATGACATCACCGGCACTTAGATGAAGTAGAAAAACCGGCCCGCGCGAGAGATTTTCACGTGATGATAAAGGGTAAAGGTCATCCATCAGCTGATCCGTTCTCGCATCTCTTAAACTAACAAGATTCGTTGAACCGGTATACATTCTTTCAACGCACAGGTAGCGATGATTAATTATTTTCTCTCATTTATTATGGTATAAATCACAAAAATACAGTACATTAACCACATACTGCATAATTTTATTTAAAATTAAGCCGAAATATTTATATATTCCTACATCCTCGATTAAGAAAAATTATAACTCGAATGATATATTTATTAAGGTGTAACAATGCAAAGTAGACGTTGAGTAGTCCGAAAACTTGTGTTACTGGCCAAAACTAGGACAAGGTAAACTCAAGATTTTACATGTTTAATTTATATTTTATCATTAAATATATCTATATATCATTTTATTTCTGTGTACGATAAATTAGGAAATTATTCAAACGAAAAACAAGCGTACACATCTGCACCAACAACGCTCAATTTCTTTCTTAAGAATGTAATTTCAGCATCTTTTTTGGAGTTTATCAGCACTCTGGGATGAGATTTTTCCTCTTTTTTTTCTCTCTCTCTCTCCTCCCCTCTTTGTTTAAAGCTATTTTATTAATTAAATTTCCAGGAAAGGATTGTTTCTTCTACTATTTTCCATCGTCGATTAGTCGAGTTGGATTATTCTAGCAACGTCTTGCTCTATCGACCGTTGTAGAGCATCTGCTATGCATTTACTAAGGTCCCAGATGTGATGGAGACGTTGCGTGTCTCCTGCTTTATAACTCGACTGTAAATCTGTTTTCACTCGAAACTCGATCCTTTAAATATAACTCGGTCGACTGTCTCATAATCATAATGAGGGGGAGATTGCGTGGAATTTCTCTATTTTAATTTGTATCCGTGATAAATAATAAGAGAACGGCACTTAATAGAATTATTTTATTACTACTATAAGACGATGAAGATGCTATTATCGATCTTATGTGTTTTATTTGTTAAGAAAAGAATTTTTATTTTTATTTCAGTAAAAAGTAAGTTCTGCTGCTCTCACCGTATACCATTCTCCACATTGTTTAGTAATGGCGCTGAGCGTAAATGGGATTTGATATTGATGTAATGAGACTAATGCAAATAAATATTGATTTTTATATCACAAAATGAAGATAAAATCTATTTAAAGTAATTTTAAAAGTTGAAAATATTTGTGAATATTTTTTTTAAGGAGAAAATCGTCAACGCGACGCGACTTAAAGCGACACCAGAAAGTGACAATGTTAATAACTTCCGTTTCCGGTATTGGATCGTTTTAAAAATCAATAAAGTCTCATCACACGATTATAATGATGTTTTCATATCAAAATCATTATCATTTAATGAGCCATTTTTTTTTAGTTACGACGAATGCAGCCGACATCACCATATTAAAATTAAGTTAAATCGTGTCGAAACATGTCGAAACTTGTTTATTCCTCCTGTAATAGTTTCAAAAGAGCAATATACTCTTTATATAAGAATTTGTCTCATGTTTACTGATTATTATAACTGTTGCAAAGGGAAATTCAGTTTAAGACACGAAGTGCCATGTCAGTTTGTATATTTGACGTAGACCCATAACGATACAATACTTACACACGAGACAAGATTATTCTTATATTAAAATGTATATTTTTGTTTATTTTCAGGTGGTGATCAAGTTATTAGAACACGGTGCTCAAGTTGATCTTGCTGATGCCGATCAAAGGACCGCACTAAGAGCAGCCGCCTGGGGAGGTCACGAAGAAGTGGTCATTAAGTTATTGGAACACGGGGCTTGCGTCAATAAAACGGACAACGAAGGTAGAACAGCACTGATAGCGGCGGCATACATGGGGCATACGGAGATCGTGGAACATCTGTTAGTTCACGGAGCCGAAGTGAATCACGCAGATTCCGACGGTCGCACCGCCTTGTCCGTTGCATCCCTGTGCGTTCCCGCTTCCGAAGGTCACGCGGGTGTTGTTAGCTTACTGTTAGAACGAGGGGCTGAAGTGGATCATCGAGATAAGGACGGGATGACTCCTCTGTTGGTAGCTGCCTTCGAAGGGCACAGCGACGTCTGTGAGCTATTATTAGAAGGCGACGCGGATGTAGATCACACGGATAACAGTAGAAGAACCCCTCTCTTCGCTGCCGCCTCTATGGGTCATCCGGAAGTGGTAAATCTTCTCCTGTTCTGGGGTGCTGCAGTGGATACCATAGATGCCGAAGGAAGAACGGTGCTTTCGATAGCAGCGGCTCATGGTGATACGGAAGTGGTTCGCCAATTGTTAGATAGGGGTCTAGACGAGATGCACAGAGATAACGAAGGTTGGACTCCTTTGCATTACGCAGCCTTCGAAGGCCACGCCGACGTTTGCGAGTTGCTGATCGAAGCTGGAGCTAGAGTGGCAGAAGTGGATAATGACGGAAGAATCGCTCTGATACTAGCCGCACAGGAAGGACACACGTCTCTAGTTGCTAAACTGTTAGACGTCAATAGAACGATGATCGATCATCGATCCCACGATGGAAAGACGGCTCTGAGGGTGGCAGCTTTAGAAGGACATAAGGACACGGTAAGTAATTATAACGGTGTATTATTCTCTTAAGTTGATAGAGGATCTTCAAACGTACAAAATTAGTTTCCATGGCGCAAAGAAAACTGTCAACAAAGTAATTACACTACCTTTAATTACAATAAGGTTGCGCTTCTTTGCCATTGTTCTAATTAGGCAAAATTAGGATGATGATTAGTGTCGAGGAACAACTCGTTAATTTAGCATGTGACCCAAATTATGCGATTTTACGCTTGGAAGAATTCTACTCGCTTGTATCAATTGTTTCAGTTCCATTTAAATAATAAAGTGATATCGTTCCTTCCTTCCTCGCATACACGTGGAATTTTGACCATGAGAAAATTGTTCAATTTCAAATACGAAACCGGTTACGTCATAACGACAAGTAATTACGTAATTCTCAATATTCATTAAAGTTTATGTCGCAAAGGTTAACTAAATTAGATAATCTGTAAAATTTATGTTGATTAATTAGAAGAAACAATTGCTTTTAAATTGGTAATTAGCGTCGTTACTGTAATTTCATACATTTATTAAAAAGTTTTAAAAATTTATAAATTTTTTAAATGTTATTTTCAGAGTTTGTATTGATCGGAACTGGCTTAATGTGTTTAGTTAAATTATTTCCCATCGTAATTAATCTAAATACATTTTAATGGACTTGTTTTTTTTTAAAAATCGTAATTGTTTTTTATTGGTTGAAAAAAACCACGTGAATTTAAAATTCAAATTTCGTATTACGATCGATTTAAGTTGATATTTTTATTTATTGGATGTCGAAAGTATTGAATTGTGTTGTTTATTAATTGAATTTTTCTTGTTTATATTATTTCTCTCTTTTTAAATTAATAATATTTTGTTAAAATAATAATTTCTTACCTTTTCACCGACGTTAATTTATTCGAGATAATTTCATTATCGTCTTGCTGTAATATAATTTAAGTGTTGCCAGCTAAAAGCGCTATTTTTAGCAAAAAAAAAAATGAGAGAATTATAAATTATTTATTTTATATTCTTGTTAAATATTGATCCACTAAAAATAGTAATTTTTGGCGAATCAATAATCTAAGTTTTTCTCCGTTTCTAAAGCTAGTTATGTTTTATACGCAAGATGGCGCTACTTAACACAAACATCAAAAACAAAAAAAAAAAAATGGCGTAGAATAATTTTGTTCCGACCTTAAATTAATTATTATTATAGAAAAATAAAAATAATAAAATAAGGTTTAATATTCTGTAGAGAATACTTTTTTTTATTTTTTTATTTTACACGAATCGATTTTTGTTGGCTTTTAAAGATGATGCCGAATAATAATTAGAGCGTAGAAAGTTCTGTGTAATTATAGAAGTCGAGTAGTTTGCAGCCTTCCAAAGGGGACGATCGTAAATTAAGTTGCAACATTATCCGGTACGACTAGTCAGCCTTTTATGACGTTGCATCTCACGTGTCGGTGTTTCTGTCCAATAGTAATCAATTGTTTAGTCTCATTTCCAACCACCCAACGACTGGCATCGTAATTACGTGGCCGATGCACGCGAATCGGTTGTTTGCTGTGTTAACGATTGTTCGCCACGCTTTTACCTCTAACTTGTTTTATTGATGGTCACATTTCTGTTTAGCTCCTTTAATGGCGAATCTCTCCATCTCGTTACGTAGTCGAAATTGAATATCTTTCAATCAGATCTCGAAACGGATGGAAATGCTTCTTCTTCCTTCGTTTCCTTTGCTTTGGTACTTCTAGCGTGATGAAACATTTCCGGATGGATGGACACGCGGAATGGTGAATTGCGTGGATCTTCAGTGGCTTACAAATTGGATCCGGTTATGGTCAATTTGGATGGGAAAATAACTCCAGAAAAATCTTTATCCACTCGAATTTTCTTTAAGAAACTGTTTTGTTTTCGTTTAACTTTTAAGAACAATCTACTCACCGTTCGCCATTTTTTTTCGCAATCACTCCATTGAAATACTACGAATTTAGGATTTATTATACAACCGAATCGACTTGCTTTCTATTATGCTCTGTGGCGGAAGAGTCTACAAGGAGTCTGTTCTTCGGGAACAACAGAACTTTTTATCTGGAAAATTTTATTTGTTTATAAAACAATATTTATAGTAGAGTTACCTCAATCAATATGCCAGCTTCTGTAATTCCTTGTAGATACCGAAACGTATTTCGGGGTGTAAAGTTCTATTCTTCAAGATCTTGACGAATTTTTTTTTTCTTTTGAAGAATTAATTAGCTAATTTAGGCTATTAGATAATTATTAACAATCTAATTATCTCTCGAGGGCCGTCTCCATCATCTCAAGGGCCTTGCTCTATCTCTTCGACCACGTGTTTTGTATCGGGAAACTTCAAAAAGTTTTGCTACTCCACTGCTAAAAGAGAAAATTTCACACTTTTTAAAAAAATATTTTGGGAGGTTTTAAGAATATAATTAACTTATTAATTTCTGCGAAAACGCGAATAAAATCGATCCTATTGATTCGATATAAGAACGTGTTTATTCATCGTCACTCATGTTGATCCCGTGCTTTATCTTTTAATGAAAGGATTAATAAGTTTTTTGTAATTTTTTCCGCTCTCACGATCGATTTTCGGGTGTGAAAAACATAAAAAATGTAATAATAATAATAATAAAATAAAATGAAACAACACTCGAACTAAAGATAATGCTTCTAGTACGGGTCACGTTAATGCAAAATGGCGGCATGTAATAAGTTAAAGTACATCAAGGAAACAATAAAACACTTTTTTTTTGCAAGAAAAACTTAAAATTTATTAATTAAAATATTAAATTTAAGTAAAAAAATCCGTTGCAATCTTGTAACGTGAAACGTACATTGGGATTTTGAATTATAACACGTCTTGTAACGTATTTTTTTTTCTAGAATAGAAAATGACATATTTTTGTATTTAAAAAATTAAAAAAAACGAATAAATTTCTCTTACAGAAAATAAAGTTTTCTAGAACAGAAAATAAAACACTTTTTTTTTTCAATTTTTACAATAATTTAATGTCATATTTTTCATAATTTTTTGAATATAATTTTACTTATTGGCATAATTTCCTTTCCTCTGTTCATTCTTTATACTATTGTTATATATTAATAATATAATTTCTATATATAATTAATAATAAATTCCTTGTCATCAATCAGCCGAGTCATTCGGGCATTCAGCTTATCATAATTTCTCTCCATTCACTTATTCATGAATTAGCTCTTGCAAAATATCACTGCTAACATCTCGGATTCTATGATCTTTTATTGCATATTCTAGTAAATTATTAACTAATAAAAATTTGTAGAAGAATTTTCTACATTTAACTGTCATTTCTAAACTATTTTAATAATTAATCATCCGTCGTGAAACGATTAATTGCTATTATGATGGATGTGTTGATGTTCTATCAATTATTGATGGTCTCTCTCTTTAAACATTTTTAATTCCTATATTTTTTTTTTCTCCCTGCCTTTTTTCGTGTTTATTTTCTTACTTTTTTTTAAAAAAAAATAAATTAGAGTATTAATAAAGTTTGGGTACGTTCTGTAGAGAGGTAGAAGTTTAAATGGAGTGTAAATTATAAATTTTCTAGAATGTAAAGTGAGGATAGTTTTGTAGAAAGTAAAAAAATTCAAGGAAAAAAAAGAGGGGGAGGAGAATTGTATTTAAAAAGTGCATAATTTTAAATAGAAATGAACAATTTTAGAGAGAGAGTAAAAAATTTATAGAGCAGAAAATCACGGTATTTTCGTAGAAAAGCTTTGATTTTAAATGGATAAATGCTATTTCTGGAATAGGGAATGATGATATTTCGTAGAAATGCACAGTTTTAAAGTTAAATATATATATATAATATTCTAGAAATTTTTGTTTTTCTATTGAAAATTATTACTTTTTTTTTTTTACGAAAATGTTATCATTTTCTGCTTCAGATATATTTTATTTCTCTTTAAAATTTTTGTATATTTATATTTAAAATTATGCTTCTTTAAATGTAATTTTATTTTTCTTCTAGAAAATTTTTATTTTCATCAAAATTGCCTTTTTCTTAAAAAAAAAAATATATAATAATAATAATCCTTATTTTTCTATTTTAGAAAATTCCATTAAAATTTATATTTTTCTTCAATATATATGTCATCTTGTTAGTCATGTATTACAGAACCTTCATTTAATCTCAATGATATTTTCTAGAAATATATAATATTTTTCTATTTAAAATTATCAATTAAAAAATAATATTTTTTTAAATAGAAAAGTACAATTTTTTAAGAAGAAAACACCAATTTTTCTAGAATAGAAATGACAATATTTTCATAGAAAAGTACATATTATTATTATTATTTTCTTTTTAAAGCAGAAAATGACATTTTCTAGAATATAAAATGACGTATTTTATTTAATAAAATCATATTTTTGTATGATTATTCTTCTTATTTTCTTAAAAAAGAATGTCTAGTCCTTTTTAATAAAAATTTTTCTATAGAAAGAATCCAACATGGACGAACGGTTCTAAGTTAAACGCCTTTTCTAGAAGGATAATATGTTCTATTGTAAAAGAGGGGAAATAATAAAAACCAGATTACAGTCAATAAATTTCCATTTGAGAACAATATGGTAGAAGGGGGAAGCATCTATGAAGATTAAATGGCTTGATGCCAACTTTTGAAAAATTCTCTAGTAAGTGAAAAACCAACAAAACGATGGTGTAAAATACGGGAAGTGAACCAATACAGATAATTGAAAAATATTCGTTTCATCATGATTAAAACCAAGAGAAAAATCGTTAAATGTAGGTCGCTAACCCAAAAATAATGATAGCCGCAATAAAACGAAAGACCTCATATTGCTATTAATAGCATTTTAGTTAGTAAAGTGAATTGTCTTATCTTTTCTTCGATAATAAGTGAGAATTGCAATCTCCAACTGTTTAAAATCGATAGGAGTAGAAAATTACACGATTATAAAACTTCTCTAGTATAATAAATCCAGTTTAAGTAGAGAAAATTGTAAATTGTTCGTCATTCTGTAACTAAATTACATTTATTTTTTACTTTTTTATTAATGATTTACGATTCTGATTAATATCCAAAGCTCCTTTTTTGATGATGATTATGATTAATGCGTAAAATCGAAAAAAAAATCGAAGTTTTTACGTAAATTTACTGAAATTTAATTTATACAATTTATTTTTTTATGCGTTTAATAAGTTAAAATATTCTAGAAATTAATCATTTTCTATTCCAGAAATTAATCAATTTCTATTCTAGAAATTTATTCATTTCTAGAATAAAAATTGATTAATATTTTAACAATAGAAAGTGACACGTATTCTAGAATCGAAATTGACATATTTATAAACTGTAATAGAAATTAACATTTTTTTTTATATAATAGAAAATGACATTTTCTAGAATAACAAATCATAAATTTTAAAAGAAAAACATAAAATAGAAATAAAAAATGGCAGATTTTTTTAAAGCCAAATAATAAATTTATAGATAGAAAAAAAAGAAAAAAATACAATAAGATTTTTATTATAAATGGCAATTTCTAGAATATGCCATTTACTAAAAAATTTATTAAATTATTTTTAGCATTTAATAAATTTAAATATAAAATGTTCTATATATTTTGTATTTTACAATTCTAGACGTATTCTAGAACCATAAACGACATATATATTTATTAAAATATAAATTAACTTATCTTATTTTTCGGAATAGAAAATGCAATAAAAGTTCACTTTTTAAATTCTAAATTTTAATTTCTAGAAGCTGTTATTATTTTATAGAATAAATACGTTTTCTTGAAATTTACACTGCATTTATAGTTGCACACGCTTATGATCGTGTTCTGAATTTTAACTTTATTTTAGAAACTTCCCCTTCATATTTTTAGTGGAAACAGAGAAATTATTATTGTGTGTTTATATATATATGTATATATATATAAGTGGCTGAAGTTTTCCTTTCTTTGCTAGCTTGAGAAGTGCTCCCAATTAGTGCTGGGTTGGGAGTGACTGCAGCAGCTGTTACTTCAACTTGCTAAACAGAAAGAAAGCTAACGTTTGTTTCTCTCACTTTGAACTTTACACAGTTTCCGGTATTAAATTCATCTCTGTTATTGACTGAATATGAATCAACGAACAAGTTATGTCTGCTAACCATTTGCAATATTAGCATAACTGGAAAAGTTCCAAAAACATTGGCATCTCGGGCAGACAGCCAAAAGTTGAAAGAACTTAAAAAGGCAAAAGTCCAGAGTGGAGTGAGAAAATGGATCTTTTGCCCCCCTCACTCTTTGTGATTTTTCTGACGTGTACGCTATTAAACATTGTAATTTTTAACATTTACATTGCTTGGATGCTGATACGATGTTTTTTTATTTTTTATTTTTGTTCTAGGTTCACTTACTAATGACACGTGGAGCTGATATCAATTATAAGGATGCGGATGGAAGATCCACGCTGTACATCTTGGCATTAGAGAATAGGTTGGAAATGACTGATTTTCTTCTTACTGCTGGAGCAAACGTCGAAGCTAGAGACTGGGAAGGAAGGACCCCTCTTCACGTATCTGCGTGGCAGGGACATTACGAAATGGTAGATTTGTTACTGTCTCATGGGGCCAATGTGAATGCTGTCGATAACGATCAAAGGACTGCTCTGCAATCGGCTGCGTGGCAAGGACACGCTCGAATTGTACGCCTTCTGTTGGAAAGACAGGGAAATGTCGACCACACGTGCAATCAGGGCGCTACGGCACTGTGCATAGCGGCTCAGGAAGGACACGAAGAAGTAGTTAGGGTCCTTCTAGAGTATGGAGCCGATCCGGGACATGCTGATCATTTCGGAAGAAATCCTCTAAGGGTTGCGTTGAAGGGTGGTCATAATCAAGTTATCAAACTGTTAGAAGAATACACGATGCAGATGAAATCTCCAGCAGGGCAGAGACCTTGTCCTGCCAGTGCTAGCGCTACGTCTCTTACGTCAGCAGCATCGACAGCAGAGACTAAACCGTGTAGTGCTATTTTATACCAACCGAGTTTTGCTCGTTCGCCACCGAGTTCTCCCGAATCTGCTGGCAAAAGAAGATCTTTTGTTTCTAATCAATCCTCGTCTAAATCCTCTAGCAACTTGACAACATCCACCAAATCGTCGCATCAAGGAACCGAATTAAGAACTGCTGGAACTCCCGTCACCTTTACTCAACAGTTACAACAGTGTACCAGAACCAGAAATCGTGTGAGCAGAATCTTATCACCTCTTAGCGAACCAGTCAGCCCCGTTCCCAGCCCCCCGCAATCTCCAGTTTCCGAAATTCAGCGTTTGTCTCCAGTACTTCTGACTAGTCCTCAGGGCCCACCATATTCGACACACGTTCCTATCGTGATAGGTAAGATTCCGACGTCGCAGGTACCCAACCGGAGCCACGTGACAAACAGTAGGCCTCATCCAGATTCCAACACCCCCAGGCCACCCGCGGAACCAAGATTTAGAAGAAATGGCATCGTCACGAATCCTAATTACAAAGGTGGTCAACACGTTAGCATTCAGTCTAAACACAGAAGCAACGGCTCGGCTCAGCAGGTGAGGAATTCTAATCTGACACCGGCTTACGAAGACTGTCTGTCGACCAATTCGCTACCTTTAAAGAAAGAGACACCTTTGTAACGATAGCTGTTGACAATCCTGCCAACCCTTAATAGGGGGAACGTTTGCGTCAGAAAAATCTATTATGTGCGTTGCTGGCAATCAAATCGTTGACCGGGACGAAACAGCAAAAACAAATACACACACACACAAAAAAAAACAAATAAAATAAAAGAAAATATGTGATGTACAAAGTGCAATGTTTTGTATCATCTGTAATCGATCGTAAATTTTATTCGCAGTAGATAGAATTCAACGTTGTGATTATGCCAAAAGAGTGATTCCAAATGTCTCTGCTCTAGTACTGTTTTCTAGAGATGGTCAGTTCCGGTAGGATGATAACTTCCTCCTCCTCTTTCCTCTGTAGATTTATAATCAAATTCGCTGAAAGATTGCCTTACTGTAGAGTGATGTTTACACGTTTCACGTTCTTCAAACACCGAAAAAAAAAGCAAAAAAAAAATAAACAAATTATATGTTACATTTAACGTATTATTTTATTTTTATTATATTTATTTGCTGCATAATGCAGAGTTGAAAGAAATCCGCCATTTTTGAGACGGAACAAACGTGTTAATTACGCTTCTCGCATAGTCCGCCATTTTGAAGCCAAGTTTCGTTACGTTCTGAAATAAGTTTCAAGAATGGAGAAAAAAATATATAATTATTTATAACTTATTCTAATAATTTTTATACAAATTATATATAATTTTTTTTTTTTTAAATTGAAAAATGTTTGAAATTTCTACGCTTATGTAAAATGGCAAAATACAGAGACTCGATGCAACAATGGATATGGAATTGAAATCTGTATCCTGCATTGTATATGGAGTAAATTGCATTGTATTGCATTGTAGTTAGAGCTACGTTGTAACTATGTAAAGGTTCAGATAAGGGAGCTTTCATCAAAAAGATAAAATAAAAAAAAATCTTATGTTATAAAATGCAAAATTGGTAACATTATATAGAAAATGTCCTAAATTTCTATTTTGTAAAAAGAAGAATTTCACAGTAAACTTTCAATCTCATTTGAAATTAATTTTTGTGGAGTTTTTCTTTTGTAATTTTATAAAAAAAAAAGGGAAAAAAATGCACTCGAATGGCACCTCGTTCGCTAAAACGGAAGTTTTGTGTAACTGATTGCACTTCGCTATCCATTTGATAATAGAAACAGTGATGTCTTCATATGAAGAATGGCAAAAAATTAAGGAAAATCTGTAACATTTTTGTAGGATTTAAGCTTATTAAATAGATGAGTTGTTACTGTTACTCTTTTCATGTATCCGTGTAAAAAAAAAAAATCAATATGGAGAGTGACGACCAAAAAACAATTATTTTTCCCGAAAAATCTTCATACTTCTCGAATCACTCGAATAATTAAATAAGCTTGGATTAATTAATAACGTGAGGGATTAATTTCTATGACGTATCTTTACGTAATCTTTACGTCACAGAAGATTTATTCTGTGTCATTTTGATAGACGACGAATAATATCTTAGTTTGCTGTGTAGGTAATTCGTTATCGTTTAGACCATATTTTAATATTGAAATTAAAGTTTTAATTAAATTTAATTATTTAAAATTTGATATTAAAATTAGTGAATAAGAGCGAAAAATTCAAATTGATACTTTAATTTATGGTTAATCATCCAAAAGTCGCCCACGCAAAAGTGAATAACCCTATTGAACATTGCTAGTTGGTCCTCACCAACGGACTGGAAACGTGGTGTTTTCCAATTTTTTTCAAGTGTCTAACATCTGAATAGGGCCATTTTCCTATGGTAGATCGCCCACGTGATGCGTTGCCATTTCCCATCCATCCTTCTTCCACTTTGGTCTTTCATTATGGCACTCATGAATGCCAAGAAGGCCTTCATAAGAGCTGTGTGAAGAAAGTTTCCTCAGTGAGAATTGTGTCCTTATGAATGTCCTCAGAACCGTAATGAGTGTTTCTTCAGAGAGAACCAGAAAAATTATACTCAGGAGTGGTTCCTATAACAAAAAGAATTACTCATAATGTTAAAAGCAAAACTACTAGATTATGGAAGACGAAGTTAATGGTTCTCAGAAAGATCCATTGAGTTAGTAATTTAGTAAATTCCTACAGCCATTATTCTTGGTATAATGGCTCCAGAAATCCTTAGGATTCTTTTAACACCATTCCTGTTAATCTCATACGTGAGCAGATGGTGTTAAATAAAATCTATATTATATCGTAGTCTGAGTGTCAAAAATAATCTTAATTATATGCTAAAAATCGTGTGATCGTACATCATAATTAGATTATAAATTTTGGAATATAATTAATAATTAAAATAAATAAGCACGATTATTTATTTTTTGTCATTCAGACTGCATGCAATAAGTTTCCATCCCCTTCACGTATCAGTAATTAAGTGGAACAGGTAGAAAACAGGTAGTTTTAATCGATGCTTCAAGTTAAAAATCGACCGAAAAACCATAAAAACCCAGCAAAATATTATAATAATGATACTAAAATAGTAAAAATTTTCCTATTTTTGTTAAAGCAAGTGAGAATAGTTTGAAGTTTTGGTTTAGTCTCCCCATAGCAACGCCACGTTTCGATAACGTTGACATTTTTGTCACCCTGTTGCAGTAGCCGTTATCTGTTCCAGTTTGGTTGAGTTATAACCGAGAATTCTAGAATAAATCGGGTGGAATTTATTAATTTTTTTAAAAAAAGAATAATTTCTCAAGCATTTAATAGAAAATAAAACAAGCAAAACGCCCTAGTTACTGCCTACGCTGATAAATTATAACTTGGGGGAGGAACGGATTTACACGTAAGCGAATTACAGCCTCACGCATCTAAATTTATTATTATTTGACAGAATATCTTCTAGCTTAAAGCTACGGCAAGTATAAATTTGGCAGCGACTTGGAAAAAAATGGGTAATTTGTCACCGTACAAAAGAAATTCATTATGAGAAGCACCAAAACCATTTGGGCACACAACGGGTTCGCGTGAAATTTTCCGTGTTTTTTAGTGTCTATCATCAAAATTGGAGCCAGTTATCTATAAAAAATCCTCCCGGGAGGCACCCCTTTGCAGATCTAATATATTGCATTGACGTATTCATCAAACCAACTTTCTGAGCACTTCTTTCTATATTTTCTATAATTCCAGAAAATAATCTACTCTACTAAACTGGAGCAGGCCTAATTTACACAAGGGCCTAGTGTTAAGAAGTTACAATGTAAGGGCCTCGCGCTTTTAAACATTATTATTATTTGATGGAGTAAGAACATGCCATATAGCTTAGGGCCACAATAACTGTAAATCTGCCAGTGACTTGGAGGAAAATGGGTAATTTGTCACAGTACAACAGAAATTCATCATACGAGGCACTACAACTATAGATTGCTGTAACGTTCTGTACACTCCTTTCTGTAGTTTCTCATCAAAGAACTATCGAAAGTCGAGTTGTTTGCTCTATCGATCTTCAAATATCTGGATCTAACAGCGTGGCCCTTACAAAATTTTATATCTTTAGCGTTATCCATGCGAAAGCACAAATAGTCTAGGGTAAACTACTGGATACAGGCCAATATCTAATAAATAAATAATTTTAAAAGCAAAATTAAGTGGTTTAAATTAAATTAAGTTAATCTTCAAAGTATTTATTATGATTAAAGAGTATAATTTTATAAATTTACTAAATAAATTGTAGAGTCGCGAAGTACAGTACGTTATCGTATTGATTCGTGTATTAAAAAAAAACAATTGTAACGTTATTTAACACTCAAATAACGTAAAAGAAAGTCATCAGTGTCATTCTGGAGTTCCAAATTGAAATGTAAATCATACTTTTTTTCGTATAAATTATAAATGATTACTTGTATCGTTGCTCGTAACGATGTTCGAATGACTCATTTGCACCGTCATTTCATCGCCATATTTTATGACGTGACATTTGTTTCGTAGTTTGAAAAACAATTGCACGTCAGGAACAACTGCTACGTCATAAATTATATTGGATGATCATCCAAGATAGAAAATTAGCCCCATTCAACATATCTCGACACACAATGAGCCTTGATGATCTCATATATATTTTTTCCTATTATCTATTATGATGGAAGCGATCTCGTCGCTTACGCGCGCGATACACGCGATGCTAAGCAATTCAAATTTTAAATCTCAATAACTTCCGTTTCCGACATTATATCGTTATGAAAATTATCAGATATCATTGCGTGAAAATATAGAATTTTTTAATATCAAAATACAAATTATTTATCGATTTATTTTTCTGTTATACGATAAAAATAGAGCGCAGTTACGACGGATGCGTCGAGCGAACAAAACTCTTCATCATCTTTCGAAACTCAAATTTTTTACAAAATCAGTAAAATATAATAAGAGTAGACAAAAAATTGTTAATTTTTTAATAAGTAATAAAAATAAAACTGGAATAAATCACGCCGAATAACGAAATTAGCTTATTTTTTTTAAAAGGCGCGTCGCACGGCGCACGCGACACGCGACGCGACAATTTTAACATACTAATTTTTTAAAAAAAGTAAATAAGTGAGCGTCACGAGGGTAAGTTTGTATAAAAGTACGAAGTGTATAGGAACGAATAACAAAGAATGAAAAATGTTACACAGTTGGATCTGGAGATTTTATAGCTACATGTGTAACATGTTCCACGCGTATTTAGAAGATAGATGATGGGATTCTTTCTCCCTCTGACCACTACAAGAGCTCACCATGTACTAAAATAGGTCCAGAAGAATGGTTTTATCTAAAAATGAAACAATTTTTAGCATAAAAAATCATAATTTAATGTCTTAGAACACCTTTACTGACCCGCAACACTTGAATTTTTCTGCATAAGTTTAAACGTGACTCGTAACTTTTAACCGTATCAATTTGAAAATTTAAAATTCAAATATTCTTTTCCAAGATTTGAATATCGAAGAAGAAAATTGTTTATTGTAAAAACATTGAAAGGAAGAGTAAAAAAAAAAAGTTTTTATAAAAATTTAATATCAAAAATCCACTCGATATTTTTCCAGCAGCAAAAGTCGATTTCTAGAAACCATTTTCCTTCCCTTCCACGTTTTAAATTACAACTCGATAGTCGAGTAACGCACTTCACCCTATCAGATATTGTTAATAACGTGACGTTGATCGAAGTGGTCACATGGGTGTTACGATAATTGACGTCATTTCCTTCTGTTACTATTCTTATCCTTACGAAATTAAAGCGTAACGCAGTTGAATAACGCACGTTATCTCGTATCATATATTTAATAATATGAAGAATTGAGGATCGAAAGTGTCACGTGATAATTCGCGTCATTTCCTTTCGTTTTAATTCTCACCAAAATTAGAACGTAACGTAGACGTCATTTCCTTCTGTTTCTCTCGTCATCCTTACGTAACACAATTCAAAATTTCAAATATTGTTAACAACGTGACGTTGATCGAAACGATCACGTGGCTGTCACGTTAACTGACGTCATTTCCTTCTGTTACTCTAGCAAATCCCACGAACACGAGCGTGAAATTAATTAAGCCAGAGAGTTCAGAAAGGGTCACTTTTTTAAAATTAAATCGTGCGATTTTATGATTTAACGTCGCTTCGTCTCAACAACAATCGATAATATAATTTTCATTTCTAATAAATTCACGAATAATTTAAAATTAAAGACCGTTCCATAACCAATATCTAAAGTTAGATAGGGGCCATTCTATTATTTTCATCCTTTATCTCGTTAATTTTAATTATGCATAATTTACACCTTCACAAATCAAGAGACGATGTCGAGCAATCGTATATTACGTCACAGAAGGGGGGATATTAAGTCCTACCACGCGTAAATTTAACGTTAAAAATGGCGGTAGTGTCATAAGTAAGTGTTCCTTCCACCCTTTTAATTCGTTATAATACATTTATTATAAAGTTTAAAGGCATTAAAGGGGTGGGATCAAAGTAGATCCCTTTACTTCTTATATCTTACTTCTTCTCTCCCGCATCATTTACAGCATCCAAGATCAATTTAACCTATTTAAAAAAACACAAATTTCTACTTAAAAAAATTACTTAATTTTGTACATTTTTATATACCAGAAGGTGAGGTTATGTATTAATTTTCCTTTACTTTATTTGCATACGTTGTGTCTAACCTTACGTTATGTCACACGTACATAAATTGAACTTTTCATTTGCTTCTTGCACCACAGTCCACTCACTATCAGCGATCAGTAGTTACCAGGGTAACGAGAATGTACCATA